AGAAGAGAACAGAATTGTATTAGAAGCATTGTACAAAAGTATTGAATCACATTGCATAGCACATTTCACCCTCAGCACTGGGGAACTTTAATCTGGTGCTCCATGTCATGCAAAGAAAAGCCTGTAGACTCCAGGGAAAATTTGGATCCCGAGTCTGCTGTGTACCATATGCACGCAGCTCTCTAAGGACAGGTATTTCCCATCTTGCTCATCTTGATGTCTCAACAGAGCAGGTAATATCTCAGTAACCAAACTGAAGGAGAGATCTCCAAGGACCTGGGAGGAGATGCATGCCTTTTATAGAAGCAGAACACTTTTACTAAGAAGAGTGTTTCTAGTCCTAAGACACTGACACATTAACATATTCATATTCCCTTGTGGGTTTTTAGCTGTAGATTTATCATGATGTGACTCACTGTGCATGCTTTCACTTTTGCTTTTCATTCTATGACTTTATAAATAGAGATTGAACACCGAGAAATACAATACCTTGAAAAGTGTCGATTGACATTTTCACTTAATATTTCCATGCTTTTGTCAAAGCTAGAGTCTGAAGAGCGCAGCATGCTTTTTCTCATTGATCTTAAAGAGTGTCCATTGAAACATTCAGTGTTGCCAGAGGAAAATTTCTAGGAAAAGAATGAAGAATGTATTTATCTGAACCACCTATTGTCTAATTCCATCAAGTTTAGTCTGTTACACTCCTGATTCAAGAGAGTTGCAACTAATGGCAGGGAAGCCTCAAACTACTTCTGCACCAAGAAGTAGCTCTGATGAAAAAACCACACAACATTTCCAAGAAAAGACCCAAAATCTTTGATTTCAAAATTGGTTCAGTGACCCCAGTAACCAAAATCTCACCTACAACGTGCAGTTGTTCCACCCCTTGGGAAGGGCCAAAAATTACACTACAAAAAGAGGGGTTTGGGGCAAAAAAAACCCCAAAACAACAACAACCAACCAAATAAGCAAAAGAGAGAGAGGAAAGCCCCGCTGCTTGCTTTGGATCAGCTGATGGTCTGTGTCACTCCTTATCCCTGAAGGGACACTTTTAGGTGAGCTTTGTGCTTCCCAACTGTCTTGGAACAGACCTGGGAATATTCACTTAGATCTACTGCTAACAGATCTCTCTAACTATTCCTTCTGTAACAGCATATGTTAACACTCTGTAGCTGGTGCATTTACCACCAGCAATTCAGAATCTGCTTTCCTGTCACTTCAATTACCCAGCCTATTTGCAGATCTGGATCCTGTAAGTGCCTACTGAACTCAGCCAGGCAGATAGTGTCCAATGGGCTATTATCACAACTTAGGCCCAGCTGCCCCCAGCTCTTCTGATCTCTGAGGAGCAGCTGGAACCTAAGGGGGTTCATTTCTGCTAGATTTCTATAGCTTTAATCCAACAAAAAAATTCCTAGTACTGGGATTAAAATATTTTTGGAAGAGTTTTCCTCCTGTCTCTGTTCCATTTATAATGGCATTCAGAGGGATATAAAAAGACTTCCTTCCAGAGGGTTAGCATTTATCCACAGAAAACCAAAGGGAACTCAGGATATAGTTCTTCACGGATGTTCATCTTGTTCACACTGATGTTTCTGCAAGGAGGACGCTATTGACTTTTACTGTGTGAGGAAAGCTGCGATGACCATGGGAAGCAGCTTGTTCCATTTACTACCCAAGGTCTCATTGCGAGTATGCCAAACTAAATCTCACACTAAAAAGGGCAGAAAACAGACTGGACTATTCTACTTCTTCACACTAATATTACCAAGAGGTAATTCCACTGACTGATGGAGATGATGAGTGAAGAAGGACCACAAAGATGTTGAAAGGTTATGCAGGGAGAAAATTACAAGGGCCACAGCCCAAACACAATTTAATCTAACTACTGCTGTAAAAGACAACACTAAACATTTGTACAAATAAATCAGCAAGAAAAGGAAGACTAAAGAGAATCTCCACCCTTCACTTGATGCACAGGCAATGGCATATAGCAATGGATGAGGAAAAGGCAGAAGTACTTTGCCTCAGGCTTCAACAGTAAGACCAGCAGTCCTCATGATACCCAGACAGGGACAGAGAGCAGAATGAAGCTGCCATAATCCAGGAGGAAACAGTCAGTGACCTGCTACACCACTTGGACACCCACACTTCTACAGGCCCCAAGGGGATCCCACAGCACAGTGTCACATCCAGTTACTCCTTGAACACTTCCAGGGGTGGTGATGCCTTTCCCTCCGCAGCCTGTTCCAAGACTCAACCACCCTTTTTGTGTAAAATTTCTTCCTTACGTCCAACCTGAACCTTTCCTGGTGCAGCCAGAGGCTATGTCCTCTTGGCCTGTCACAGGATACCTGAGAGAAGAGACTGATCACCCACAACCTCCTTTCAGGTAGTTGTAGAGGGTGATAAGGTCTTCCCCAAGTCTCCTTTCCTCCAGGTTAAATACCCCCACCTCTCATCTGCTCCTCATTACTTACTTTCTAGACCTTTCCCAGCTCTGCTGTCTTTCTCAGGACACATTTTAACACCTCAATGTCTTTCTTGTCATGAGAGGCCAGAACTAGACACTGGATTCAAGGTGTGGCCTCACCATTACTGAGTACCGCAATCACTGTCCTGGTCCTGCTGATCACATTGTTTCTGATACAGGTAAGAAGGCCCAGACAAAAATGGAACTCAAATATAGTTCACAAGAACAAACTTGTTCAGCTTTGGGAATTATAACCCTCCAACTAGGGATATAGACCTGGAGATACAGGGCTTCCAAAGGGACAGCAGCCACTTTGGATGTCACTGGGAGACTCACTCATGAAACTTTCTGTGACTGGAAGCCTGGAAGAAAATAAAACCAGCAGATGTTTGATAACCTTAGATCTCCTATTGTATGCTTCTTACTGTCCAAGGATGAAATGAGCTGTATAACTAAACATAGACCACATGCTGATATCAGAAAAGAACCCCAAAAGCTGCCCACTACCACGTCCTTGCACATCAAGACAAGAAAGAGGCATCAGGACTTGAACATGAAGCTAGCACCAGTTCTCATGATCCCTCTCAAATGGAGCACTCCTACATTATCTACACACAGACCCACAACAGAGCCCAGCATCCTATAAACGGGGTGATGACTTCAATTCAAAGCACAGGAAAGGTCGACAAAAAGCAAGGAAAAAACCCCAAAAAACAAACAAACCCAAACCAAAGAACAACCTTGCAACCAGTTTCATAACTATGATTATGCTTTGGTTTCAGGCATGACTTTAGTTTCCTCATTCCTGTCTTCTACACTGAGATGACATGCCAGCAGTGTTATCTGCCTAATGCTGAACAGCCTTCCCTCCTGTGCAAAGGCTGAACGAGCTCCTGACAAACATTTCTAGTGGAGACTGCAAAAACAAAGCAGTGATCTTTAAGAAGATCCCATGACTCTTTGTAAGGGGGAGGGGGGGAGGGGTAAAAAAAACCCATCACTGCAAGGACTTTTCCCTTTTTAGTTCAGTAGTCTCGAATATAATGGCACAAAATATAAAAATATAAAATTAATTCATACAATGGAGACGCCTGAAAGACTTCTGCTGGAAGGAAACAGAGTCTTTGAGAAGCATCACTCCAAGGTAGGGCTCCCCTGAAGAGCAGACCACTTCTGAGTTGGATCAGGTCTGCCTTTATTTGTCACAGAAATGCAGGACAGCCTGCAGAATAGAGCCTGACTTGGAAATAGCAAAGTTTTAGTTTTTTGAAAGCTATATTAAAAACAATGGAAAGTGAAATTATTCAGTTATTACAGTTGCAATGCTGAGATGCACAGGCCACTTGATATCTATCCTTTACCATCTTCTAGTAGGGCAGATCAAGATTATCAAGAAAGATTATCAATAAGATAATCAAGAAAGCTCAAGTAACATTTTCACTGGTTTAGGTTATGCACTTTAATTACGTACAGATGAGCCCTGATTTCTAAACATTTTCTTTTTTAGAGCATCCAAAGCACTATTTGGATACAATTGACTAAGGAGTATTTAGCAGGCCCTTCGGGCCAAGCAGAACGCACTCAGAGGCCCCACGTATTTCGTGTCGCGCCGGCTTTGATGCATTTCTGTCATCTAAACAGAGAGCGCTCTAAAAGCATTACTGCAACTGACGCAAAGAGCTTTCTTAGATCTTCTCAAGGTAACTTTTTCAGATATGGAATTGCACCAAAATAAACGGGGATGGGGAATGACACACAGCACACCAAACCAGAGGCGATGCAGGTTTATATTCCCAAAGACCGGCTCTCAGCACGCTGCCGAGCCCCTTTTAGCCGCGGGGCGGCCGGGAACGGAGGGCGGGCCGACTGCTTCTTCACACACCGCCGGCCGCAGCCGCCTGCCCCAAACACTCGGTTCTCCCCTCTTTCTCCTCCGGGGAACACCACTCCGCAGCGCTCTCTCCGCTCCTCCCAGCACCGTCTCCTCCCCTCCGCCCGCCCGGGCCGCCCGCCAGGCCGCGCTCACCCCACCCCCACCCCGCACTCACGGCCTCCCCGGCCTTCCGGGCGCCCCTGGCGGACCCGGAGCGCGTCCATATGCGGTGGCTTCTGAGCGCCGGGGCCTCCAGGGAAATGAACTCGGAGCTGGAGTCCAGGAGGTCGAAGGGGGGCCGGCGACAGCGGCTGTCGCGGGCAGCCATGCGGGGCGGGCAGGCAGCGCTGCTCCGCAGGACCACCATAGCGAGAGGGACGCGCGCCGCCGGATCTCTCCGCCGCGCTCCGCTCCGCCTGCGGCTGCTGCTCCCGGCCCGCACGGCGGAAGCGAACGCGGCGCACTGCGGCCCGCGCCGCAGCCGTTTGGCGCCCAAAACTCGGAGCGCTGCGCCGGCGGCGCGGGGCGGGGCTGGCCCGGCTCGTCCCGCCCCGCCCCGCTCCGCCTGAGGGTCCCTGCGCCGCCAGCCGCCTCTCCGGCCGTACCCGCGGAGTGCCCGCGCCCAGCCGGGATGGCTGCGGTTTCCTCAGGAATGGCGTAGCGGCTGCCCCCACCGGGCCCAGCGCTTCCTGCTTCGCCCTCAGCCCCGCTCAGAGCGGCCATGGCGCGGCCCGAGGCTGGTTATGAGGCGGCGGTGCCGCCCCGCCCCGCCTGCACCTACAGCAGCTGCTACTGGTAAGGGAGCCGGGGGCGGCCGAGCCGGTCGGTGCCCCTCGCACCGCCGCAGGGCGCCGGGACAGCCCGAGCCGCCGGCGGGAGCGGCGCGGCTGTGGGCTGGGCACGCTCCCGGGCTCGTTTCTCGACACGAAAAATGAAGTTGGAGGAAAACAAAAAAATAACCGATTATTGTGTTTTGCAGCGAAGAAAATGTTTGGAAGCTTTGTGACTACATCAGGAGTCAGGATCGGTACCCTTTAGAAGAATTTTATGCTGTTTTCATATCCAATGATAAGAGGATGGTGAGTCAATGGGATGCGACCAGAGCCAGCTAGGGAAAGGCTCGGGCCTTCAGACCGCAGCCCGGTGTAGGTGAGAATGGTCCCAGCCCAGTGCTGGGAAGTGAGCCTTTAGCCCAGCCTGTAGGTGAGATACACTCCAAACCTCTTTTCAAGCTCACTTTGCCTCAGAGGTGTACCAACCACACCGCATGAGATCTTTTAATTATGCACTGCATTCAGGACAGTAGAATGAGGCACGGTGACCCTGTGAGCTGTGGGAGTAATTCTGTCTGTAATCTGTCAGTTTAGGAGAATGGTTATCTTTATAAAATCATAGAACCATTAATAACCATAAGGTTGGAGAAGACCTCTAAGACCATTAAGTCCAACTGTTAATCTAGCATTGCTGTGTTCACCACTAAACTATATCCTCAAGTCTTTTGGATGTTTCCAGGGATGGTGATTCCATCACACTTCTTTTAATTGTGGCCCAGAATAATATCTCCGACTTCATGCTCGTGAGAGAGAAACTAGAAAAAATTTTCTTACTGCAATACAAATGTAAGCTGAAGAAATTGATAGCTTAGTAAAGAACTAGCTAGTTCACCTGAAAGGAATCTGTATTAATCTGAAAGATTTTATTCACTTCAGGTTCATTTATAACTTTCAGATTCCACTCTGGAAGCAGAAATCTGGACATGGAGATGAGCCTGTTGTCTGGGTAAGGCATTCATTACTCTCAATAATTTTGAGTGTGTGCCTCTGTAGTTGATAGCTGCAGGATCACACATGGGCGTGTAACAATCTGTTCCATCTGAACATAAAGGAACACTTTCTACTCTGAGGGTGATGGAGCATTGGAGCAGGTTGCTCAGAGGGGTTGTGGAATCTCCATGCTTGGAGATTTTTAGAAGCTATCCAGACACAGTCCTGGGCAGTTTGCTTTAGGAGAGTGTCATTGAGCAACAGGTTGGACCAGATGATGTCCTTAAGTCCCTTCCAACTTCACACATTGCATAGTTTTGCACTAATATTTATAATTATTTTACAACAGATTTATAAATAGCCTAAATCTGGTGTTCCTTTGCACCCTCCCTCATAAATTAATAGCAGGACAGTCAGTAAAAGTCTTAATTATAGTAAGAATGCATAATAGATTTGTGAAAATTATTATCTGGGTATTGAGGCTGCCAGCTCTGTAGTATTGTAGGTAGATGACTCTACTTGTAAGAAGTAGATGGATTAACGTATTTATGTAGGCCTGCCAGATGATAGAAGAGTGTAAGTTATATGTGTATTTAGGTGTCAGCAGTTAAACTGACCCATAAACAGTGGCTTTGAAGTGTCATTTGATCAGTTAATGTAGTTCAGTAATTGCTGATGCAGAATTCCTTGGTATCATTATATAGTCCTTTCAGTTATCTGGCACAGAAAAAACTATTTCTTGTGGCAATTTCTGTTTCTGAAGTTCTGCAGAGTAATCTGCAAACTTGTGAATTTTTCTGATTTCTGAATCATTCACTTTCTTCCAAAATATTGGTAGCTTTCCAGTACCAAAAAAAAAAAAAAAATTTGGTTTAAAAAGAGATCCAAGTGCTACAGAGAAGACCTAAAAGGGAATAGCAGAGTCAGGAAACGCCATGGCAGAATGTGTATTTCTCGTAAAAATTCATGGATTCAAAGGTCTTTTAACTTTGACATTTCAATGAATGATAGGTTGTGTAAAGCTTGTAAACTAATTTTTCTTATACTCTCTAATGGGTTTTTCTAAATATTGTTGAATACAGTTGTGTATGTATATTGGTCTGGTGAAGTAGATTGCCCAAATCTTTTTAATTTAAATTTCTTTGTGGTTTTAATATTGAGAGTGTCAAAAGACAGTGCTCAACCCTTTTTGTGAGTGGATTCAATGTAAATTTAAGTAAGTTGTTAAGGGCTACCTTCAATTTAATTTTGGAAAATGGCAGTGCACATACCTGACCTATAATGTAACTGCAGTGTCCTCAAATCTCCACCTGTGTTTCTTACAAGTTAAGGAGTAAAACTGCACTGAATAACCCAAAAGTCTTGATAAAATAGTTGCATTGAAAAAGTGATGTATTACCCACGGATAATTTCCTGTAGCAGCTCTTGAAGCTGGGAAAAAATGTCTTACACCTGTGGTCCTCCTGATGCGAGCTGTTCGCTGTTTTTTCAGTGGTGTGCTGGTTTTTCAGGTGCTTCTGGCAGCTGAACACTCGACACTCAAATTCACAGACCGTGTTACTGCAACAGGTACAAAATCTCTTACTAGAAGAGATCACTAGGTAACTTTAATGTTAATCTATCATTTTATCTTGTGAGTTTATTTATGACTGGGTCTAATAAAAAATGCTTAACCAAACAACTTTGTGATTTGGTGTGGAACATGAGAGAGATTTTCTGTTTTCTTAGGAGTAGGGTATACTTTAGTTTGCTGTTTTGGCTTAAATCAAAGGAGGCTGCAAAGGAATGGGGAGAATAGCAAGGTTTCTGGAAGACTAAATGGGCAAGATAGACATTAGGAAATCTCTCTCCTGGTGCCAGAAATGTTACAGGCTTAATATTAAAGGACAGCAAGCAGGCTTAAAAAAATGGATCTGAAGTTATGGTTTTAGGAATCCTTTTTTTTTTTTTTTTTTTCCACTCTCTTTGCCAGTTTCTTATTAACTGCTGTTGAACTAATGGCAATTCCCCTTCTTCCCAGGACTACCATGTTATTCTACTTCATCTTTCCAGTGGGGAGCAGAACTTCATTTATGATCTTGACACAGTGTTGCCGTTTCCATGTCCTTTTGATGTGTACAGTGTGGAGGCCTTTAGGTTGGATGACAGCCTTCATCCAGAGTTTCACAGGTGATGGCATGAAATATAAAGAACTATCGATGTTATTTCATGAAATCAAAGTTGAAGTTCTCTTTGTGTATGCATAGTGACAGAGCGTTCTTTACTATACTCCAGTAAAATAAATGCATTGTGTTACTTTTCTAAAGCTCTTTGCCTTAGTCATCAAAAGCCCTTTTCTACTGTAGCTTCATGTTAACAGCTTGGCTCAATGTTCCTGGTTTGTGTATTTAATAACATCAGTGCTCCTTGATGAGAGGAAAGTGCTCTTATTCTGAGTGATTAGTGCAGTATTGTGTACATGCATCTTTTAATACAATTTTGCATTTTGTTTTTAGAAAAATCAGAATGATTCGAGCAGATTTGTACTTGAAGACATTTGCTTCAGACAGATCTCATATGAAGGATGCAAATGGGAAATGGCAAAAACCTCCTCCTCCGTACCCATGCATTGAAACTGCAGGTGAGCTCCCAGAACTCTTTCCTGTTTACAGTACTGAGTGAAGTAGTCTAGGATGCACATGGGAAATAAATAACTTCTGTAACATTTGTCCAGCCAGCTTATTACTTCATATGGGAAAAAATAGGGCTGTGAAGCATTTGGTACTCTCTTTTTTGAACACATAGTCCAACATGCCTTCTGGCATTTACTGGTATCAAACATTAGTTACTGATATTCGTAAACTGAGCAGAGAGTGAGAGGTAAGTAATACTGTTCTCTTGTTACAGCAGGGAACTGAAGCAGACAGGCCAAATTCCTTGCTTAGGGATCACAAAATTTTTCACACAGTGATTATACCACATTCTAGCACACAGATCCCATTCTGGCAAAATAGTGTTGGCAGGAGGAAGTTTTCAGTGTGGTGGGTTTGCCTGCATGAAGTGTTTGAGGTTTCTGTACCAGATGGATGGACCCCAGGATGTTTTAAGTCAGTGGCAAGTTGGCAAGTTTTTCCCTAAGCCTTAAACCTCATGTAAGTGATAGCCTAGCTGATAGCCTCTGGGCCAGGCAGAGAGAGGGGTAGACTTGCCATCTATTCTGTAGAGCTGCTTAAAGCATTCTTCTCACACAGCATTTCAGCTTATTCTAATAATCTGTTTTGCAAGCTGAGTAACATTTGTCATGTGTGTGTTTGTTTGTTCTCTCATTTTCTTCCAAGGAAAGCAGGGTGATGTTTTGCTTTGAAAAAGTTTGAAAGAGTTTTCATGTTACTGCTCTGCATATTTGGTTTTGCTGAATTTTAATAAAGCAGTACTGTTACGTGTTTATGTTAGAGAAGGGAGGGTCAAAGAAACATGGTTCTGTCTTTATGTCCAAGTGGTTTTAAGTTGCTGGGAAATTCTCAGTCTTTGCTTTAGCTTCTAAGGAAGCTTGGTGTTTCACATGAGAGTAGAAGTGAATTATGACAGTGAGCAGGAACACAGGTATCATCTTTGTTATGAGGCTTTAGGTGCTTTCTAAAGGTGTTTTAGGGAGTGTAGGATTTCTGAACTACAGTGAATGGTTCTCTGTTAGCTGAAGCCTCATAGGTGATAGGTGCTGAGAACTTTTTTGTCTGTGGAAACCTTGTTGTTTTGATAGCTGAGAGCTAATGAAAGTATAAGGAATATAGATGAGGTCAGACCGGGAAAGCAAAAAATTCTATTCAAATCAAAAAGAGTAAAAACCATTACTTGTGGGTAGTAAGTTACATAATGACTCAAACAATTGCAGATGTGTACATGTATGTCTAGGTTGAGTACATGACTCCATAGCTGCAAACCATGTAACTCTCCCCTTTTGTTTTCTTTGTGGTTTTTTGGTTTGGTTCGGTTTTGTTTGTTTGTTGTGTCTGGCTGAGCTTTACCTCCTTGGTAAGCAGCAACCACAGGCCTCAGCCAGCCTCCAGATTCTTAGTGATGCTGGCAGATAGTGGAGGATATGTAGCTCTTGCTTCCTCTTATGCTTTCGTTCTTTGCTCTATACCTTGCCATGCTGAATGAAATGTCCATAGGTCCATCCAGTCCAATGTCTGCCCGAAACAGGCATTCCTCAGGGCTCTGTCCAGTCTGGTCTTGAACACCTCCAGAGATGGTGATTCTACCACCTTTCTGGACAGTGTCCCAATGTTTGACCACTGTCATGGTAAACAAACAATGAATAAAGAATCCTAATATATAATCTGAATTTCCAGTGTTCCAACTTGCTTTTTTAATTTCTTGTCCTGTTGCCAGGCTCTTCCAAGAAGACTCTGGCTCCATTGTCCTACCTTTGATCAGGTAGATGTAGGCAGTAATAATGTCTCCCCTTCATCTTCTCTTTTTAAGACTGAAGAGACCCAGTTCTCTGAGCCTCTCCTTGAATAAATGTTGTCCTGCACCAAACAACTTGATTTTCCCCTTTTGGGCCTACTCCAGTATGTCCATGTTTTGGGGATTTTTTTTTTTTTTTTTCTGACGAGCTCCAAATGGACACAGTATTGCAGCACTGTGCTGATGTGCTCTGGTCTCCTGGTCAGTTGGCTAAAAGAAACTTGTTACCCTGCACCCACTGAAGGTGAAAAGTCATTCACCAGGGAGCTTCAAGGTCTGAGTCAGAATAGGACTAGATAGTCTCAGATCTAGGACGTCTAGTTCAAGTGTTTGTTCCTTTAGTACCAGTTCCTCCAGCTTTACTTTTTGTCTTCCCTTTGTATTTACTTGAGATACTTTGTAATGATGCCTGCTTCTATGTGCACAGTGCTGTGAGTCTGCGAGGAGTCTGGGTAATGTCTCAGCACAGTTTTATAAGGCGTAAAGCTGCCTTATTTTTAACTTGATGTAAAACTGGGTGGCAGACCTTTTGTTATCATAAAAGAGCCTGGGGCACTAATGTTCATGTCCATGCCAAATTCCATTGCAGATAACTGTTTTCTCCCTGCCGTTTCACTTAGATAGAACATTCTGCTTTCCATGTTGATTTGTGTTTGCATAAGATTAAATGACTTGTATATTTCATGTTACAGTGACTGTAATATAGTGGCTGACAGAACTGGCCCCATATTGTTTTAATACCAATTTATTTGTGAGGCATATTTCTATCAGACTAGGTTGTTTTGGTTTTTGGATGTTTTTTTCCCTTTCATTTAGAGTAGCCAATTTCCTAAGCTTTTGAGAAGATGCAAGGTTTTATATTCTTTCTGTATAACAGAAGGTTATATATTCCTTCTGTTATATGTCTTCTTTCATGTTTGTGGCAGTTTGACCCTACCTGGATGCCAGGTGCCCACCAAAGTTGCTCAGTCACTCTCACCCACAGCTGTACAGAGGAGAGAAAATGCAATGAAAACTCATGAATTGAGATAAAGATGGGGGAGATCACTCACCGATTACTGTCAGGGGCTAAACAGACTCGACTTAGGGAAATTAGTTGAATTTATTACCAATCAAAATCAGAGCAGGATAATGAGGAGCAAAACAAATCCTAAAAACACCTTTGCTCTATCCCTCCCTCTTTACCAGTCTTAGCTTTATTCCCAATTCTCTACCTCCTCCCTCCCCTCTCAGTGGGGCATGGGAGTTGCAGTCATCAGAAGCTGTTTCTGCTGCTGCTCAGAGAGAGGAGTCCTTCCCTTGCTCCAGTGTGGGGTTCCTCATGCAGTTCTTCATTAACATCTCCGATGTGAGTCCATCCCATGGGCTGCAGATCTCCATGAGCTGCTCCAGTGTGGCTCCCTTTCCACAGGATGCAGTCCTTCAGGAACAGGCTGCTCCTGCATGGATCCCCTACTATCGCCGGCCAGGGGCTGTGTACAAATCATGAACGGGACGGGGCTGCTGTGGAATGCATCTCGAGCTGTTTATTTTTTAGCATCAGTCTCATTACATGGTTATGACAGTGGGAAGATGTCAGCAGCTCACATCTTAGGCAGCAGATCAAGAACGTAATGTTACGACTTACTTTAAAAGCTTTTTGACCAATCACACAGAGCAAAAGCATATTGACAGTAGTTCTATCTAATCACTGTAAATACACATACCTTTGGTTAAAACAATGCTTGCTTATTTCGAATACAATACTTACTTGTAAACCTTAAGATACAATACACAGAGCTCCATTATTAAGCTTAGAACTTCTTAATATCTCACTAGATATACTTTTTTACAACTTTTACGGAGTTACTCTACCCAAGCATTAATACAGAGACTATTGTTCTATTTGTCCTTTCTTTCTACTTCTTGTATAATTTTTCTGCTGACAAATCTTATAGCTACTGCTTAGCTCTAAATCGCCATCTTGCTGTCTCTGAGGCCTGCCTTTTGCAACGTGCCCAAAACCCTCTGATGTTAATGAATCCCCCACCCTACGGGGTCACAAGTCCTGCTACCAAACTTGATCCAGTGTGACTCCTCTCTCCCCAGGTCTGCAGGTCCCTGCCAGCTGCCTGCTCCAGCATGAGCTTCTTGTAGAGGTCACAGCCTCCTTTCAGGCATCCACCTGCTCCAGCCTGAGGCTCCTCCATGGGCTGCAGGGCACAGCTGCCTCACCATGATCTTCACCACAGGCTGCAGGGGAGTACCTGCTCTGGTGCCTGGAGCACCTCTTGCCCCTTATTCTTCACTGACCTTAGTGTCTGCAGAGTTGTTTCTCTCACATGATCTCACTCCTCTCTGGCCACAATTACTTCTGTGGAATAGTTTTTCTTAAATTTCTTAAGGGAAGAGGTACTGCAACAATCGCTGATGGGTTCAGCCTTTGCCAGGGTCCATCCTGGAGTTGGCTGGCACTGGCTCTGTTGGACACTGGGGAAGCTTCTAGAGGAGCCACCCCTACAATCCTCCCCTGATACCAAAACCTTTTGGAATTGAATTGAGCAATCTTGATCATTAACAAATTAGGCATTTTTCTCCTACTAGTAACTCAAAGGGAATAAATCCTAAACTGTATTTGTCCTGCTCATGGGTTTGCAAAATAAATAATCAAAAATAAGCTTACATGGAGTCATAAATTCTAGTCTATGCCTAAAAAAATTGAAGCTGGCACAAGGTGGTTTTTAAAAGCTTTTTTTCTGAAAGACAAACAACTCCAGTCCAACCAATAAAACAACAATAAAAATAATGCCCTCTCAGACTCCTCAATATCTCCTCAGAACTTGCATGCTAAGCATTAGGCTCTTGGATCTGGCTCTGCTCTAGCTGTTTTCCAGAGTTAGGCCTCTCTGTCTTTTACTGGCGTTGCTCTGGCCTCTCTTCTCTGCTGCCATGGATGCCAGGAGGCTGGCCAGCCTAACTGGCCAACCTAACTCGCCCTATCCTGTCCTCAAAGCTGCTCTGCTGGAATAAACATACCTGAGCTGCAGAGCATTCCCCTGGTCCCACTTGTTTGCCAGTGACCACCTGTTGAAAGAAAACAGGGGATTTTGTTCAAATAATAAAAAATGAGATTTGGTGAACAGATTCTTTATTCTAGAGCTGGTGAGCCCAACCTTGGGTTTTCTTTTAAATCTTCTTTCCACAAATTAATGAGGTCTTATTCTGTTTAGTTTATGACTTAGGATGAGATCAGCCCTCCTTACTGCAAGCCTGTGTAAAATACAGCTTGCACAGTGCATTTCAAAATTACTCTGAACAGATGGTCATGTGGCTTATGTGAAAGTGTTAGCAGCAGCTCTAACACTGAAAAGCACTGGTTTGAATTTTAGTTCTCCCAAGGTGCTCAGTAGGACACTTACTGGATTGATTTATGAAAGCTTTTTTGTTTTTTTATTGTTAATAAAATCTCTGGTAGCCAATAACGATGGGGTTTTATTTGGGTGTTTGTGGGGTTTTTTAAATTTTATTTTGAAGAGCTCGAATAGGACAGCTGAGAAATTTTGAAGAAACTGTATATCAAACATATATGTAACAGGAAATCTGTTAGACAGAGACCCAGCAGATGTCTGCAGTTGCTTTCAGTATCTCCTCTCTGAAGTAGCAGCAGGATCTTAGTGAAAGTGAAAAGGCACTGATAGGGATACAAGTAACTCCTTTGCACTTCGTGGGAACCTTCTGCTGCTCTCATTTGAGAATAAAATTCCATTCTGTAAAGTTAGGTCCTTACTTCATAAGCTTTTGTGGAAGTAATGAATCGAGTCAGATAGACACAATAAAGACATGACTAAGAAGTATTTAAATTGCCAGAGTGGCTTGTTGAAATTACACCACTTTCTATAAAAAATAATTTAAAATGGTGAGTTGTGTTTTACATTGAGATCAACCAGGATGGTTTGCACAGTCAGTTATATCTTAGGGCTGGAGATCAGCAGCCCCCCAGCTGAGAGTGGGAAGAGTTCTTCTGACTTATCTCCCTGCTCAGACGAGGGAGGAGGATCTGAAGAGAGCTGTAAACACCTACACAAGTCTGTGAAGGGTCCAACTTTCTTTTAGCTGCCCCCAAAGTTTTAGGCATCAGCAGAACTGATCTTGGAGGCTTTGTTCCAGACTTCCTTGCTTCCAGCAGCCCTTGGGCAGCTGTTGTTACGCTGAGTTAGTCCAAGGTCTGTGAGCCAAGCTGAGGCTTGGCTTAAACGCTGCTTTCTAACTTCTGTTGGGAGAAGCCACAAGTATCATGGCTAACAATGCCTGAGATAGTGAGTGGCCTTTTATTTCATCCCTGCTTGGGGTAAAAGTGGCAGGCTTGATTAAAAAAAAACAAAGTTATGCAGGAATCCCAGAACGGGCCAGCTAGGTCTCATTTGTGGGGGGGGTGTGTGTAACAAAGTTTGGTCAAAGAGGAAGATGAGCTCTAGGTATTGCACAAATGCAAGCTAGTATAACAGTCACAGCACCTGATGAGGACTTAAAATAATTCTGCTTCTATTGGTCTTGTAAAAATGTAGGATACATGCTCTATGCTTTTGTGGAGAGATCATCTTGGTTTGCCAGCTGTAGCACCCAGGTGTATCTTTTATAAATTCTGATGTTTGTCACTCTTACCTGCTTCGGGAGGAGCACTTTGTGGTATTCTCATGCGTTTTTGCCGAACTGTTTCCTAACACTGTAATAAGGTCTAACACGACATGCACGGCATTCAGATGGAGCCGACTGGGAAGGAGCAGCATAGAGGGGCTGTTATTCCACGAATACAACGGGAGAGGTCTCAGTAAGTTTTTCCCTACGGGTACCTCCCGTGCTGCTCCAGTGCCATCTACCGACAGGTTCATAGGCCGTCGCTCTGCATAGGAATGGACTTGTTTGCTGTGGTAAAACAATCTGCCACAATCCTTCCGATGTTAGAGAAGATTTCATTTCCTGCAGGCATTGTAGCAGCACCTCCCAAGTTGTGAACAGCAGCTGTGTTTGTAACTACTAGAACAATCGCCTTTGGACTGCTTTATCAGTCACAGAACAGTTTTATGACTTATTTTAGTATGCTTAATGTACATAAAGCAGGGAATTACTTATTTATTTAATCTTGACCTATATGAAGAATCACCTCGATTTTGAAAAAGCATCTGGGAGGAAAAGAACAGTTTGAAACTGGAAAACAGACTTAACAGTCCACCAGCAAGCAAGAGTGGTTACCCACTGCTAATTTGTTCTTGAGCTGTGACAGCAAATTGCTGAGCTTGTGCTATTTTAAATTCTCACACAGGCAGAAATGATCCCTGTTCTGCCAGACTCACTTCAGCAGTAGGACCATGCTTGGCTGGACATAAGGATTTTCTGTATGCAGGGCTCAAACAGGTTAACAAGAAAAGATTTAGGGGCCAGACCTCAGAAGGGGTGAGAGCTGGGATTAGGCAAATCACAAAGCTGTGCTATAGTGTAGATGTGATGCAAACAGAGGCCTTCAGGGGCTGGATTATGCCTGGTACTCCTGGGTCTGGGGTTCCTGAATATCATCTTCCTTTTCTTGCTTACACTGTCCATAATGGTAAGCCTAGTTACACAAGCATTTTGCAGCTGAAGCAGATTCCATCCTTTGGATTTTATAATCTATTCCTTAGAGTCTCCTCTTGTTTGATTCTTAATCTTTAAATGCACACATGAGTCATCTCTGGTAAAGTAAATACTTAATACAGTGGAAGAGCTGTTAACAGTAAATCTGTAAAGTAAAACTGTAACAGTGGCTTTACCACTCTGTTCCTTAAACTCATTCTCAGACAGTTTTCTTTTAATGGTCATTTAAAAAGATTATTGTGCACATCATCGGTAAGGAGTTAAAACAACAAGCCCATCAGAACTGAACCTCTGATCAGCATGGTTCTGAGTCAGCGAAGCTTGTACCTGGCCATCTGTGGAAAAAGGATGTATATAGCACCTAAACCCAAAACTGCACACCAGCACTTTTCCAGTGAGCTCTCTGGGATCCATGAATGGGACAGAATGGTTTCTACCCCTCCTGCAGGGAGCAGAGCAGATTAAATCCTGACAAAGAGCAGTCATGGTTACTTTTCTCTTGAAACTGTGCCAGTTAAACTTTTCCCCCTGACTTAATTCTGTTATTCAGTATTCACAAAAAAATAAGTATTTGCCCCAGCCTAGTTTGTGCTTCTCATCACCTGAGCATCCCTCTTGGCTGGGGACTGGGTTAGGTCATGCATCTCCTCCCCTCTGCATATTCTGGCCCTGCAGTGGGCCCATGTTCAGAGAAGAAAAAGTTCAGGGCTGGAGGGAAAACAAATACTGTAATCTGGAGAGTAACAAACTGCAGGTTTGGCAAGGGGCTAATCACTGCAACTTGAATTCCGACTACTGCTGTGAGCCAGTTCCTCTGTGGTCAGTGCAAAAGTTGACTCCTTTGACTTTGGTTCAGGACTTAAATGGGTAAATATTATCTCCCCTGCTTTTAAGTCAACCCATTTGTGTGAATGCAGGAAGACTGCACTGCACTTCCCTGTGTTAGTTGTTATTTGCACTGCAGTTCTCTGATGCTACTCGACCCTTCTAGCCTGCTGTTGCAGGGAAAAATCTTACCCACACATGCTAGTTTCTAGTGACTTACTGGATGCTTACTGATCCTGTAATGTTATTATTGCCATGGGCAGAGAGGGGAATGGGCACAAAAGCAATATTTCAGAGACTGGAAATAGATGTTTCTGTACCACCTTACAATTTGCAGAATCTTGTTGGAGTGAACTGAGCTACTGAAGAGGGGTTTGGAATGTTTTCTTGAAAGATGTATATCTGTGCTACAGAACCTGCATCAGGAACTTAAATATTTCCCTTTTCTGGTCCTTTTTTAGATTCCAAGATGAACTTGGATGATTTCATCAGTATGAATCCGGAAGTGGGATGGGGCTCAGTGTTGTCCCTTTCAGACTTTGTGCATCGATTCGGCAGTCAGACTGATTACAGCTATTCCTTGGAAGGACAGTAAAGTGAACAAAGTTCTGGTTTGTTTTGCTGCTTTTACATTGTATTTATGGTTTACATTTCTGTACATGGAATAGGTATTTGGAAATATAGAACATCCAGACAGAAATACGAACTGAATAAAAACCTTTATTTTAATTATGTAAGAATGCACTTGGTTGTCAATGTCAAATCAAAGGCAGACATGCCATCATAAGCATATTGCTTTTCCAGCTACTGTGCTGAAACTGAAAAGAGCTGCAAAAAAAGCTTTTGGAAAAATATGTGCATAAAATACTGAATATTGTAGCCTAAATTGCTACATGTTGTCACATTTTAAAAGTGAGATATGGTTTTCTTCATGTTGTGATTGCTGTCAATTATATGTAAACAGACAGTGCATCTCAGTTTCCCCACTAGCTTTACTGATTAGTCCTTATTTAACAGAAATGTAAAGAGATAATTGATTTAGTAGTTCAGTTGTGAACTCCCATGCACTATGTAAAACCAGGTAAGTATCCAGGTTTCTGTGCTGTAGCAGGGGAGAATTAAATCCTGCCATTTCAGTGAAATGTTCTAGTGCTGACAGTTCCTGGAAGATGCAGTTGCTATTTTTGCTTCTCATGCTGGCTGTGCATTCTCACCTGCTCCCATCTTCTTGCACTTGGTATTTGTTTGGCCTTGTGGTAATTCTGACATAGAGCAGGAAGTTTTGTTGTGGTTTTTTTTCTGCCTCTTGGTTCCTTGAGCTGGCCTGCCATGAGGTCAGACAGCTGCTCCTGCTGGTGTAAGGAAATCAGCAGGGCCATATGGCTGGGGGGAAGGGAGTGAGAAAGCCTCCCTGTTCAGGGTTCTCTGCTGTGGAATATCCTTAGAGGTGATATGAAGCTGCATCCCTGCAGGGCATCCCAGGAAAGCCATCATACTGACTGAGGATTTGGAGCAGTCTCACATTTCTGAGAAGACCGTCCTAAACATGGAATTGCAAAAACAGGCTAAAATAAGGTCTTTCATTCTCAGCTTTAGACCTGTTCTACTTTATACCCTAGCACATAATAGACTCACAGACTGGTAGAAGAACATGGGTTAGAAGGGTCAGGCAGTTGCTGGTCCAGTCTCCTGTTCAGATGAGCTCAGACCAGGCTGCTCAGGGCTTTAGCCAGTCAGGCCTTGGAAACCTACTGGGATTGAGACTACAATAAACATTTGTGGTACATTTAATTCCTGTGAAGAAAAGCATAATAAAGATTTTAAGTATTAAGGGATCATTTTATTTGTAAGTAAAGAAAAATATCAAAACTCGTAAGGATCTTGTATGTGTTCCATTGCTAAATTGTTATATACGTACGGTATCACTGTATCTCTCATCAGTTCTAGGGAATTTACTCAGCATATAAACAGCAGAGACAGCCAACTGAACAGCTGTGGGATTGATTCACTTCATCCAGACATCTCTTTCTGTATCATAAGGGCTGCTGAATATAGGAACTTAAACTTTCTATTGCCAGATGCAGCACAATTGGTTGCCTGTGCAGACAGGCTGCTACTACACATGTTCCTTGAGTGCCAGCATGGACTAGTTAGGAGGCTCGTTGTGGGGACAGTTGATCTGCAGTTTCTGTCACTCTGAATCAGCATCACCAGAAGAAACTGATATGAAGCTCAGGGTTCCTGATAAGCTGGTGCACGAGGCCTCCCGAGAGGGGACAGCTGGATTTAACCAGATACTCCTGTGTAAAAGGTCTGTTTGGATGAAACAGCAGCTCTTTCTGCTTGATGCTGATGTAGCAGGCACACTCTGAGGGGATGAAGATGTTGGTACTTACTGGTTCTGGGTGATGTTAAGGCTGGTTGTGAGCGTACAGAGCAGCAGCAGTTTGCCTGCTCAGCTCCGTGTAGCTGCCAGTGCGCTGTGTTAGACACAGCAGAAGTGAGAATGTAAAGATCCACGTTTCAGACGAATGGGTTGTGTTAAGCACTTCTTACCCTTCAAGTGGTTGAGTCTCATAGACACAGAGTTCCTGTGCATTGCTCAACAGGCCATTTAAGTTGTTACAGAACATGAGGTTCTCATCCCTCCGTACTTGAGTATGTCATTTGATTTAACCTCAGCTGGTTTCCGGTGCCTGAAATCTGTGACACACTCCCTTTAGTGGGGGTCAAGACACAAGAGTCTGCCTCGTTTAATCTAGTTTCAGCATCAAGACTGTTAAGAAGAATAGTCACAACTATTATTCAGAATATGCAAGTTTAAAAAAAAAAAAATCAATGTGAAGAGTTAATCCTTCTCCTCTGTAATCAATCTGAACAGATGCTTAATTTTACATGTGTCTGGCTGGGTGTGTGTCATTATAGCTTTTCTATAATTAACCACCTTTGGTGTGGCTCTTGTAAAAAGCTGTCGTTCCAGAGGGATCAGTAGAAGCTAGAGAATTATTTAATTCAGTGCTGAAGATCATGATAGTGTGGTGCTGTCTCTCTAGCCCATGTAGTCTGGGGGCATCTCATCGCCTTTCAGGTTGGCATGGTATCAGAAGGAAAGAATTCAGGAATACTTCAAGTGCTCATTTAGGGCCCGAAATATAAAGATAAGCTACTCACTTCACTGCAATTATCAGAAACCAGCTCTTTTCTGGTGCTGATTAGTCCTAGTGTCCCATCAGAAGGACTGACTTCCCTCCTCTTTTTGATCCTTTCTCCAGGTAAGCCTAGTCCTTATTATTTTGTGGAACTTGCTGTATTTAACCTCTGCTGTCAACCCATATTTGATACATGAGGTGGCCCCACCAGTGTGGTTTCCCCATTGAACACCACAGTAAGTTGCAGACAGAAAAGCAAAGTTTGCTGAGAGCTACTTTGCCATGTTCCTGCAGAAGTGCAAGCAAAGAACTTCCACTGTAAATCTGATGGCAAGAAGGCAACTTCATTGCCAGACATCACTAATTGTCAGCTCTGTGACCAGTGATGTATTTAAACACCTAAGATTCAAACAAGTCCATACCACATCATGGGTACATGTGTGGGGTACATTGTGTGGCAGAGCACAACTGCTGGTCCTCAGGTGCAGCTCCAGGCTGGCCAGTGCAGCCACCCAGCTGAAGTGGTGCTGAAGGACAGCCTCACTCCATGATGGAGGGGAACTGGGCTCATGCCACTGAGAGGTAGGAAGTGATAAGAAAGCATTGATGGGTGGTTGTCTGGGGTGCACTGGCACAACAGGATCAGCCTGTGCTCACTTATACTCCATGCTGTCAATAGCCCTTGAGACTTTTAATCTTTACTGTGCTCAGATGCTTTCCCTCTGTGTCCAGGACAAAGATGTGCTCCTTATGCAATTTCAGTACAATGATTTCCTAGTGCATCTTAGCTTCCCATTCCCTTTCAGCCTTCTTTACTTTGTTCTTTTCCATAGTGATGTCTTTCTATTGTCCAGTAATTACAGTTTTTTATGAGCTTAGAACCCCTAAGTGGTGACTTTTTGGACTAGGCAATCCTTGAGTAAGGCATTGAAGAGTATTCTGTTGCTCACTGGAAATTCTCCAAGCCTTTTATTTCTAGACATCATAGGGTGAGACTCTGATAGCCTTACAATGGGGGCATATCCCATTTTACAGTGGTTCTTCCCATCTCCAGCAGGCTATTGCAGCAATAAATTGCAGCATGAGATGGAACACCCACATCTCTCCTGCCTTTTTCTCTTCTATGCTGCTGCTTTTTATCTAGGAATATAGTTTATTTGATATATACCTCTATTGATATAAATAACCTCTTTTATTCAGCTGTTTGTGGCTTTAGAAAAATAGACACTTTTGTCTGGCATGCATTTGTTTGGTCCGTGCATTTTTGCAAACTCGTATGCGACCAGGTCTGTCTTGAGAAAATCCCATTTCTTGGTTGGCCAGCAGAGAGAGCAGTCAGCATTCAGTGGATGTGCAGGTTGGGACAGGGACAGAAGTGGTTCCCTGCACACTCAGCCCTGCTGGTAGCTGTCACAGTTAGAAATGAGTCCTTCTGACAGCATTGCAGAGGTGATTTGTATCCTGCAAGGTTGTGGCTTAAGGCTGAGGTATTGCCCTCGACTGCCTGAGCCTGTAATGTCAGTGCAAGCCCATCCTGCACACCAGGGGCTCCATGGCAGCATCATCACACCATGTGCCAGTTTGGGGGATCTGGTCAGCAGTCACAGTTTCTACCAGAACAGAGCTGTGACACCTCAGGATGTCAGACCAATTGGTTTGCCATCAGTTTATATTTAGATACTTGGGGATGCTGCAATCTGATCTGGGCTATTCAGGAAGCAAAGGGGCAATGGGGTGCATTTGTATGAATCAAATTCCAGGATGAGAGCCGTGGTCAGGGCATCTTGACATCTGTGGCCTCCTCTCCTCATACCCTCATTGTCCAGCCAGATACTCATGCATGCGCTGAAGCACTATTGCTCTCCAAGCTTCTACTATAAAATGGCCATCTCTGGTTGGTCAGGTTTTCCTTTTTAGAATGAGTTTGATCCAATTTTTCTCAGTTTTCACATTTTTTCCCTTACCTTTTTAGGAAACAAGGGTTGTAGACTAAATAACTTGAGAAAATTGGGAGTAAGAATGAGGTGTGAAAATACCACCATGTCCCTTCAGTTACCTTGCACTGGGTGTCTTGCAGAACCATTACTGACACACTGTCCCTGACCCAGGTGGTGGCTGTGCCCCACACCTGGCATGAGCCACACTGCTGGAGGGGAGGACCTGCAGAGCATCACTTCACATGTCAGTGAAGAGCAGATGGCTCCAGCTTTGGTGGGCTTGCCTCTTTGGATTCTCAGGCTTACAGAATCTCATCTCCTCTCGAGGTGAAACCTGTCCGGGCATCTGCCTCTCTTCAGGTAATTACCTTCTCAGAAATTTGAGGGAGAGAATGCTGGTGATTTTCGTCTGCCTTCTGGCTTCTTCCTTATGCAGGACTTGGCCCAGTTGAGGCCAAGGTTAATGAAGCACACCCAAGGAGGGAGTGTCTGGAGACATCTGCCTGGGTTGGTGCACATTTACCTGTGGAGCTCACCTCTTTTCATTTATGATCATGGAGTCAGAAGTGAAGCACTCTATACAAATGCAGCCTTTCAGCAAGTTAAATGCTGTTGCAGTAGTGGTTCTGGAAAATCTCTTCAGTTT